GTCCTTTTAATTATATTATTCTTGACTAAGACTCATATATAGGAGCTCTGGTAGCATAGTGGCTAAACAACTTGACTGCTAACCAGAAGGCTGGCGGTTCAAACCCACCAGCCACTCCTTGGAAGGAAGGTTGGGCAATCCTACTTCCGTAGTGATACTGCCTTGGAAACCCAAGGAGGGGTCGCTATGAGTCGGGGCCGACTCGATGGCACACAACAACAACAACAACAACAAGACTCATATTTCTAATCACATTCTATTTACTTACATGTTAAAGAAGATAAAAATAATTTTCATAGGGGTGAAACGTAACAAATCAGAGTTATGTTCTGTTAAGTCTCGGCCACCATGTTTTAGATGAGATGTGCTTGAAAAATGGTCCAAAGTTACCCAAAAGCTATAAAACATGTGAAAGAAACTTTCTAAAAATAAACTCCAGATGCCCTGCTTGTTTAGGGACACATATAATCCAATGACACATACGCAGAAATAAATGTTTTTAAAGAAATAGATGCTATTGCTACAACTCACTCAATTTCCAGTGCTTGGAGGCAAGAATAAGAGGAAAAATAGAACAGCTTCTAAGGGAGAAATCAAATAAGTACTTGCACAAGCTAGCAAGGTGCTGGGTCCTTTTATCCTTTGGTTATTCTCCTATTTGATAAACATGAATGGAGTATCTTCCATGTGTAAGGCACAGCTCTAGCAGTGATCATGATCAGTTATGGTCCCTACTGTCATTGATGAGCTTCTGGTTGAAGAAATAGACATTAAATAACTAACCATACCACTAATTATTACTTAAAATTATGATAAACATAAAAAGAAAACTATGGGATGTATAAAACAGGGGTTGTATATAATAGTATTCAACAGAGGTATGTGATCTGAAGTCTCTGGATGGTGCAAACAATTAAAACACTTGGCTGCTATGGCTTGGCCATCTGCTTCCAAAAAAACAGCCTATTGAAAACCTATGGAGCACAGTTCTACTCTTATACACATAGGGTTGCTGTGAGTCAAAGTTGACTCAATGGCAACTGGTATTAGTACAGTTACCTCATGTATTCTTTGAGGACAAGAAAATAATTCTTTAAGGAAATGGTGTGTGACATGAGTTATAAAAGAAGAGTGAGAAGAAAGGGTGCTCTAAGAAGAAGAAACACTGAGAAAATGACAATGCCTCCTGGGGGCAGACATGTTGTTTTTGGAAAAAAAAACAATGTATAAAACACAAGAGGAAAATGTTTAGAGGAATTGGCTTTTAACACTAATGATGTCACCTCTGGGAAGAATGATGAGGAATAAGAGGGAAAAAGCGTTAAGGAAAAATTTTACTTTTTTATTTATATAGTTTTAAATTGCTATATCTCTATTTTATATGTTTTTAAACTAACAAGAGGTATGTCTACTATTGTCCTTGGTGATGAGTTATCATTGTAATCCAAAACACTGAGTGGATGGTTTCAGATAATTTTTTTTTTTCCTGTTACCTAGTTTTATACAGCATTAATGATTAGTGACAACAGCTACAATGGTTAGTAAAAGCGGAGGATTTATATTAAGTTTTTAAAAAATTTATTTAATTATTTTTTATTTTGTCCCTTTTTCTCTCCTTTTTTTCTTATTTTTTCCTCTTACACATGGAAGTCTACTCTTTCTCTATTTACAGTCAATGCCCACTGGAAATAGTCTATCCCTTCACCATCCCACCTTTTGTCCACACTCCTTCAAATCAGCTCCTTCTGGAAAGGCTGGTTTAGGCCCAAACATGTGGAACTGAGCTGAGTGGAATTTTCTTCTTACAGAATTGCTTGACTTCTTTCTATAGTTTCCAACTGTATGAAACACAATTCATAAATATTATCATACATGCTGCTATTGTCATAATACATCTCCCAAAACAAGACTTCGGATGCCACGTCTATGCCCCTCAAAAGCAGCATCTACCTACTCTGCACCCATATTTAAACTATTCTGCTATATCCTTGCTCAGTGTTGTCCACTTGGTCAACCTTGCCATTTATCCCTTGTCATCCTCAAATCTTTGTGCTAAGGATGCTGACTTGCCTTCTAAATCTAATTGTTGAAACATTGAGACATCTATTAATAAACATTTAATAGATTTTTTTTTAAAAAAAAAACTATACTTTGGATTCAATAAGATTTCTGTTTGGCTACTCACAGTAGCCTGGATCATTTGGTTCTATTATAATAAATATGTTTCTTTAGCATATATTTTTTTTTTCTCTCAGTTGGGTGAAACATGTGCCTAGGAGCCAGAAGACCCAGTGACAAGTCCTGGCTTCTTCATTTTGTTGATATGTAGCATCAGGAAACTCACTTAAGTCCTCTGAATCTCTGAACCCCTCTTCTGTAAATAGTTGATAAGGCGTCTATCTTACTATGTCACAGGATTGCGGTGAACCTCATCCTGAGTTACTCTCTCCCGCACTCTTTCAGTCTCACTTTAAATATCACCATCTCATGAGGATCTTCCTTGACTTTTTAGTTTTTTATTGTGATTTGGGTGCAAATTTACAAAGGAGACTTCTTTTACTCTCTATAGTTCATGTACATTTTGTTTCACTGCCCTGATTACAATCCCAACAATAAAAGCTCTCCTCCCATCTTCTCCCTGTGACTCCCTCTTCCCTTTGCCCTTCTTCTCTTTGCATTGCTCTTTGTCCAGGTTCCCTCTATGCAAATGCTGCCCTTCTGATGCTTCCTGGTTTATTGCTCTAAGGGGTTCATCTCCCTGGGGTACATAGATGGTGCATCTCGCTGAGGTAGCTGTTCTGCTTGTAGCCCTTTCTACTATTTGCTGAGAGCTAATCCAAGGAAGTGAGTTCAGTGCCAGGCCCAAAGGATAATCCAGGGTCATTGTCTCAGGGGTTTCACAAGTGTCTATCTTACCTGTAATTCCAGTCCTTTTTGTGTTTTTAAATTTTGTTCCACAGTTTTCCTCCCACTCTATCCAGAATCTCCAATTTTGATCCCTTTTCAAGTGGTCAGCATTGATAGCTAGGCATCGTCTAGTTCTTCTGGTCTCAGGGCTTCCCTGACTTCTTAGTCTAGGAGCGCAAACTCCTAACTAGATGCTTCGTAGTATCCTGCATTGCCACTTTCAAAACTCCCATCACCCTTGTTGTCTAGTTCAATGTTGTCTTTTTACCTCCCATCTCCTAGAACACTGTAAGCTCCATGTGGGGACTCTGCTTGTCTTGAACAGGACTATCAAAGTGTCTAACGTGTGGTAGGTATTGAGAATATAACAGCTGAATGGTTTATGAATAATTAAGTGAAAGTACTTTCTTGGCAAGCAAGTATTACTATAATAGTTGTATTATTATTATTAGTAGTAATAGTAGTTGTAGAAGCATTTGCATTATTAACATTTTTACCATCATACATAGGACAGAAGGAGAACCAGAAAGTAATATTTAATACTATAAATATTCATTGTAAACTATTTCTATTTTTTTCCCCTCCACCCTTTTAACTACAGGGTAACATGGCCAGATAATTGTAATTCACAGTAATAGTTCAGCATAAACTACTTTTGTTTCTTATGTATTAGTCTTTGAAATGCACAATAAGCCCCCACATGGAGAAAGGTTCAAAAGAATGTAGTTATGTTCTCACCTGAAGGAAGACGCAAAACATTTCCCAAATCAAGGGGATGGGAAAACCAAACCCATTGCCACTGAGGTAATTCTGACTCAAAGTGATCCTAAAAGATAGAGTAAAACATCCCTAAGGCTATAAATCTTTATGGAAGCAGATTGCTTCATCTTTCTCCCATGGGAGCAGCTGGTGGGTTCAAACTGCTGACCATTTGGTTAGCAGCTGAATGCTTTAATTACTATGCCACCAGAGCTCCTATCATGAGGATAGGTATGAGGAATTGTGAAAATCAATCTCTTGTGAGAAGAGTATTTATAACTGAAAACAAAAGAGAATGAAGAATATAAAACTCTCCAGGAGGAAGAATTAGTTCTCTTTCTGTGAGTGGGGCTTCTTGATTTTTTATCCTTAATGAAGAAGGGAATTGGAAATAGTGAGACTGGTATGCAGTGTTAGGGATGCTGGTCTCATAAAGTTGAAGTCGTTTTGAATAAGATTTGATAACACTTAGGGGAGTGGGGGGTGGGCAAAGTAAGACAAGATGCCAGTATGATCTACTGAAAAAGACATGCAGGAGCTTATTGGGCCCTAGGGGGAGCTCAGAGCAGGTGAGATGTTCAGGAAGTTCACAGATGGGAGACCTGATGCCCCATCTTCTAATCACTGCAATAATCTTCTCAGGATCCTCTGACTCCAAAAGCAATCTCATCCTCTTGTGTTTGCTGCAGCCAAGTTCTGTTAACTAACCACTTCTATATCATGTTGTTCTGAGAGCTTGGACTGTGTATTAACACATATTTTGTTCCTTTCTGTCTGTGTACCTAGTGAGGAATTAAACTGAATGACTGTGACCATAACACTCCCATTCCTCATCCAGGCCTTTGTAGAAGAATATTTTCAAAAGATATAACATGACTATAAAATTCTACATTGATTCAATACTACAGAAAAGCTGTTACCTGTGTGCATTCATTTATCAGAAATGTACCAAATCCTTACTGTGCTAGGTCCTGAGATGGAGTGAAAGATAGAGGAAAACACTGTCCCTATGTTTAGGGCCATTAAAAAAAATCCATTAAGTCAATTTTGACTCTGAGTGACCTTGTAGGACAGAGTAGAATTGCCCCATAGGGTTTCTAAGGTTGTAATATTTATGGAAGCAGACGGCTACTTCTTCCTCTTACAGAACAGCTTGTGGGTTCCAACCACTGACTTTTTGGTTAGCAGCCAAGCATTTAACCCACTGTGCCGCAAGGACTCCTCTTTAGAGCCATACGTGTGGGTAAATCTAGAGTTTGGAGAACTGCTGATTTTCTTGTATAAAATGAAAGGCCTTGGCTAAGTGACTTTTTAGAATGGCATTGTACTCGCACCTGGAGGCAGGCTGGCGCACGTCCCTGGGGCTTGTTGACATCCACAGCTACTAGCTGCCATCCACCAGCAGCGTCTTCATGAAACATCTTCAAGACAAAGAGGGAGATGAGTCAGAGACAATACGGAACACCAAAAACTCTATAAACTTTATGTCTCTCATTTTTTAGGATCTTTAAGATATCAAATAATGTCTCTTCCTATGGGTTTATATTTAGAACATGAGTCATGTAAATGATATTCATTTACCCACTCAAAAGTTAAGTTAATAATACTAATAACAAGGACAGCGATAATAGCTTGCATTTATTGAGCACTTACTATGTGTCAGGTCCTTCTGCTTGACATTGCTCAAATATTCTCTGCAAGAATATAAATTAAATCTTTTTATGCCCGTTATATACATCATCATTTATTAGAAGTTTGAAGCATTGTGTCTAGTTTGTTTTTTTCTATAGGTGGTGAATTTTTATCTTTATTCAGTAGACAGTCTTCACTGAGCTGATATAAAAATATTCTCAGGATAAATAAAATAAGAAGTGTGCATGGGGCTTAGGGATTTGTTGTTGTTGTTGTTATGTGCCATCGAGTCAGCCCTGACTCATAGCGACCCCTCCTTGGGTTTCCGAGGCAGTATCACTCGGAAGGAAGGTTGGGCAATCCTACTTCCGTAGTGATACTGCCTCGGAAACCCAAGGAGGGGTCGCTATGAGTCGGGGCCGACTCGACGGCACATAACAACAACAACAACAACATCACTACGGAAGTAGGATTGCCCAACCTTCCTTCCGAGGAGTGGCTGGTGGGTTTGAACCTCCAGCCTTCTGGTTAGCAGTCAAGTGCCTTAGCCACTATGCTACCAGAGCTCCCGGGGCTTAGGGATAGACGGTGTTATTTTAATGGTAGGAAACAGACACATCACTTAATAGACTTTGTGAAATAATTTTAAATAGGCCACAATTAATCTGCTCAGCAGAAATTTTTTCGTACTTACTTATGAGGGGAACAAGTAGTTTCTCTTGGCTTTAAATACATAAGTGATTCAGGATACTACAAGCTTACTAAAATCTAAAATTCTTGGAATTGGGAGTCCTAGATTATTATGTTACTATATATTCTGTTACCTCAAAAAAAAAAAAAGTCATCTGTCAATTTACACCCAGCTGGAAGATTTATTTTCACTTTATAAATATTTTTCTACTAATATATTTTCTTTCAAATTTCCTAGGGAATGTGTGGTTGTATGGGTGGGGATAGTATCTGATAGGATGGAATAAAGATCTTTATTTTTCTAAGTAAAGACATTAATAACTACAAGCCCTCACTGGCTTATCCCTACCTGAGGATGAGGATACAGTTTAATACAAGTAAACATTTTCTCTGTGACACTTATTTGATCCTCGTTAGTCTGACCCTGTGTTCAAAAGGGTAATTGTTGATGGAAATATGAGATGATGCAAAGATTTCATTACTTGAGATTTATAACTGTAATTTAGAATTCCCTTTAGGAGAGGTAGTACATTATTTGCAAGGAAGAAAATGTACCTTTCTAAAATCATTGAGGTGGAAACAGACAAGTGTTTTATTTCACAGGAAACATATATTTTTTAAATGACAAAATGAGGTGCATATTTACATAAAGATTATTTGACCAACGTTGTCTATTACAAATTGTTTTCTCAGATGTTCATTTACAGAATTCTGATTTCTTTAGAATGAATTTTAAAAGGTATTTTTAGTGGTAGAATCAAGCATGGTCCATCTGACATGAATAGGCTCATTCTGAGAACACATACATTGGTTGAAATGCAAACCTTCTAAAATGCCTTTTTAAAGTTCCTGACAAGACTCTGAGGGTCTCTGTTTAAGGACAAAAGACTAAATCAATTCTGTCACTCAGTAGCTAAAAAGCTTCTGTTGAAGCATCCTATACTCTCATCATGGCACAAAGGATCCCTGGGGCATGTATTTGCTTTGATCAGTAGCAGACTAATTTTCTCTGTTAAATTATATTTTTCCAGTAGACCAAAATCAAATGAATCAATTTAATTCCCAGTAAAAACATTCTGTCAAGGTCACTCCTTTGCATGAAGTAAAAGGCAGGAAACGCAAACGTGCCCAATTTCTCTTTAGTCCTCTGAATTATAAAACAACATTTAGATTGGTTAACAGTAGTTCTGTGAGTCATATCTTGGATTATTGGAAGCCAGGGATACTTGGAGGCTCAAGTGATTAGGGAAGTGTGTCAGCTGCTGGCAGCTGTCACTTCATACCTGGTCTCCAAAATAACAGACTTTTTTATGAGGAGTCTGGCCACCAAAAATAAAGACTAATTTTTGACCTTTGTTTTGAAACTCAGTTGGACCATACTGGTCTAAGGGATACAAGCAGAAACTTTTGCTTTTTTCCCCCCTTATTTTTCTCCTCCCTGCTCCCTGGAATATGGATGTGAGGGTAAGAACTACAGTAGTCATCTAGACCACAAAGTGACTTTGGGGGTGAATGCTAGGCAAAGTGGAGCAAAAAGATGAAAGGAGTCTGGATCCATGGTAACAAGACTCCTATATCGACCTTGAGTCTCCTCATCCAACTTCCCATCAGAGAGGAAGGAATCATATCTCACATAAGCCACTTATCTAGGGAGTTTTGTTTTTTTGCAGCTGAACTCAACTAATACAGGTGGTTTCAGCTAAAATGTCCAATTAGCTCTTCCATCTTAAAGATATATAACTTTTTTCCTCTTGTTATTTAATTAATACATGTGGACTGTTAAACACTTAGGAAATGTGGAAGAGTAAAAAAAAAAAATCTTAATTCCATTCCCAGAGATAATCATTACTATCATTCTAGAATTAGTTTTCCAGATATTTTATGTACGTGCGTCCACACACCCATACACAACATAAGATTCTCTTTTTTGCATGAATATGTGGTCAACATACTTCATGTTAAAAAATAAAAAGTCCAATGATGATTTTAATGGCTGCCTTTATTCTCATTTCTTAATTTATAACCAATAATTTATTGCTAACGATTCAGAAGTTCACTTTTTTTTTTTTTTAACAAATGTAAAAATGTTTCCAAAACATCCTTTAATGTACATCTTTGAGCTTGTCCAAAATTTTTCTCAGGATAAATTTCTAGATGGGGAATTTCTTGGGCAAATAGTATATATATTTCTTAAGGCTTTTGATACATATTGCCAAATTGTTTTCCAGAAAAGATGTTCCAATTTGGACTCATAGTAACTGTGTACATACAAGAGGGACTCTTTTTTTCTCTACTTTAGAGCCAACATTATAAGAAATGAGAAATTAACAGGAGGCCAGAGCAAAGGTACCACTGATGGCAGGGCCTATAATAGTTACATTATGAGGAGACAGGAGCTCTTAGAGCAAAGTGACCTGGGTTTGAGTCTCTTTTTCAGTTCTGCCACTGACCAGCTGTATAGTACTGGATAAGACAATTAACTTTCTAACCCTTGTCACTTTTTCAGTCTGCAAAATGGACAAAATGATAGTGTGAACCTCACAATATTATTGTGAAGATTAAATAAGAATACGTGTTTTTCATTTGTTTGTTTGCTTTAATTTTTGTTGTGATTCAGGTGAAAGTTTACAGAACAAATCCACTTTCCATACAGCAGTTCACATAATCTTTGTCTCATGACATTGACTGCAATTTTCCACAATGCAACAGCTCTCCTCCTATTTCCTCCCCATAGTTACCTCTTCTTTGTGCCCTTCCCTCCATGCACTCCTGCTGCCTGAGCTGTCTCCCTGTGCATACACAGCCCTTCTATTCTCCCATAATTGTTCTCTCCAAGGAGTGTATCTACCTAATGTAAATGTTCAACTTATATGCCTGTCTTTGGTTTGGCTGGAAGTCACAGGAGTGAGCTCAATTCCAGACCTGAAGGGCAGCTAGGGGCCATAGTTTCAGTGGTTCCATCAGCCTCTATCAGAACAGCAAACCTGGTCCTTGTCCCCACCTCAATGCTTTTGAGTTTTGTTCCACATTATTCTCCCACTCTATCCAGGATCTCCTACATAGATCCTGCTCTAAGTGGTTGAGAGTGGCAGCTGGGCACCATCTAGTTCTTCTGGTCTCATAGTCATACAGGCTGAGGATCACGGTGTACCAGTCACTTGGACTGATTGCTTCCATGTATCTCTGGTTTTCTTCATTCTTCTTTGCTCTGGACAAGGACACACTCATTGTTGTATGTAGATGGCCGCTTGCAAGCTTTTAAGATCCCAGTTGCTACTTGCAAAAACAGGATGTGGAACAATATTTTTGTATAGTATGTTATACCAATTGAGCTTGATATCCCCTGTGACTATGGTCCTGAGCCCACAGGTCCAACTACTTGCTCCCTCTGGGTAGCTGTCCCATGTCAGCTCTAATAACACTTGGGAATTCTTACAGAACATACAAATACACTGTCTGAAATACACTGAAACATTGTCTGACAACACTATACCTGGTCTTGGAGGCTCACTCTCCCCTGCACAGACATACCTAATAGTTCAGCCTGTCTACCCATCTATCCACCTGTATGTCAATGTTTGCCTTCACTGGTAATGCACTATTGTATGTACAAAAGGGTTTTTTGTTGTCAGTAACTCCCATGAACCTCTCTATGTCTTCCTCTTCCTCAATGCCACTGTGTTGATCACTCATGTTTGGTACATTGCCCTTCTCTTCACCCAAATCAACACTTGTCTCTACCTGTCTAACAGCATTCCTTCCCCTCCCCTCACTCCTGGTAACCAACACACAAAAACATTTCCTTCCATATATAAACCTTTCCTTGACTCTTTACAATAAGAGACTAATACAATATTTGTCCTCCTGTGATTGACTTGTTTCACTCAGCATAATATCCTTCAAGTTCATCCACATTATGTGGTGTTTTGCAGATTCTACATTATTCTTTAGGGTTGTATATTATTCCATTGTGTGTACGTACCATAGGTTACTTATCCATTCTTCTGTTGATGGGCACCTAGCTTTCCATCTCTTTGCTATTGTAAAAAGTACTGCAATTAACATGGATGTGCATATATTTGTTCTTGTCCTGGCTCTC